GTTCGATAGTTCCTGGCACGCGCTGCGGCCCGTTGACGACCGCCCTAATCAACTGCCCGGATGACGAGGGTACGTATACACTCCGTATCCATGCGAAAGAGGGGTCGTAATTGCTGCGCGTTGCAATGGCTTCAGAAGCTTGGTAGATTCTACTAACGAAAAGGACCCGTCGTTTGCTCTTGACCACTCAAATAATGGAAATGAGGTATGACAATATCGAGTACTTGTGGGGGGAGCAAAAATTCTAGAGGGCGCTGTCTCGCGTGACACTGTGTCCGCAATTACGACCAATCTCACCGCGCGGTACAGAGTGCACGTAATTTTATATGTATGTCCGTCCAGAAATGGGGAGCCACGTGAAAATCGCTTTGGCTTTCGGATCAAATTTGGCACGTATGAGGCATACGTCAAGATGTAAGAACCGCACGTACTCTTCAGCATTTTAATTCTTCCTATATTCAGAATACGTGATATCTGATGAATTATAATATCTGATGAAAAAAACTTCCGAAAAAACACTGCGCACGAATTCAGGATTACTGTAGCAATCAATGCACGTCGAGCTTCTGCACCAAAAAATTGCATCAGTGTGATTTAGACAAGTCTGACCTTGCAAAATGGATTGCTGTTGACTGTATGTGCTCCTAATGAAGAAAATGTAATAAAGGAGAGCAGAATTACTCATGAGCACGAGCGTGTCGGCAAAAATGGGCATGCAATTCGGATTTATGCCCGTCGTCCCAACGACGGGCATAAATCCGGATTGACATAAATCCGAGCGACTGAGCGCCCCTAGGTGAGAACTAGAGAGGACGTTCGTTGGATGGGTGGTCCAACTGAGCGGGTGTTAGAACTAGAACTTTCGCGGCTGTAGCACCTCCTCACTCGCTGTGGAGTCGCGAAAGTGGGACAGTCTCTTAGGGTGGGGGCGGGACTACTTGCACAAGGAAGGAAAACAGCGAATAACTTGAGCGAGGGGACTGTCCTTGAGCTTCTACTATTAGTTTTTTTTCAAGGTTTCATATCTAATTCCCCTCTAATTAGTCTTACATTGCATAAGATGCCTCTTTCAGAGCGAAATTATAGTGAGTGGTACTTCGAGAACAGTTAGTTACCTATTTTTGAAGACATCTTAAACAGGTCAATACTGCATGGCACCGAAGTAGATGGCCAGTACTAAATAGAAAGACTGTCTGCAGTCGCGATGAGTATAGCTCCTGAATAAAAGGGTGAAGCAGCTCCGAGGAGACGTTGTTCAGAGGCAGGTATGAGGGATGAATGAGCGGAGGTGGGCAGTCAGTCAACACATCCAATATCTTCCACACATCGGAGATCATTCTCGGAAGCAAACAAATACTCGGAAAACTGTCGAGTGGGGAATAGTTTGACTGAGTTGAATGAGGCGGGAGAGGAAAACGGATGAGCAAGAGCAGACGGTGAGGAAGTCAGGGAATGTCCTGCCGTTGAGGAAATTTTCACAAAACACGAACCTCCACCAAAATTTCCTTATCTGCTGCGAAACTCCCCTCATCCCCCTCACCCAACCTATCTACCATTTTCCAACTTCTCTTCAGTTTCCTTCAACCTTATTCTCTTGTTTTTCAGCAAAACTGCTACCGGCTGAGGGGGCAGATAGAGTACTGGAGACAGGAAAAAAAACGAGAAAACTCAACAAAAGGAAATATTTCTTCTGAAAGAATTACGACCTCTCTCCAGCAACCCGCTAGCCCTTTGCTAGATCCTCAAGATACCTGCTCCGGGATGTGGGTATTTATCGGTAAATGGTTAAGCGCCACGGCCCGCTTGTGTTCTATTTCGGTGCCTTACACTTCAAAATGGTGAAAAACTGCAAAACTGGTGCGAAATTGTGAAAAATAGCCGAGAAAGGTTCCGTAAACCGTAAAATATTCGGTATACTGATTCTGAGGGAAAAAAGTGAAGAGAATCCAAGACTAAATGGTCAATCGAGCAAAATAGCGCGCAAAACGTTACCGCGAAATGTCAGGTGTTAATACGCTACCTATCGGTTGCCGCTAGGCCTGCTTCAAGCCCTTACACTGACCGACCTATTTTGGAGGCACAATTTAGCGTGCAGATGAAATGGAATTCTAGCAACACCGCTCCGGAGCCGGGCCACGAGGGATAAAGTAGAGTTTGACTTTTCTTCATGCACATGTGCTAGGGGTGAAAGGAGTTTTAATGTCTTTTTCTATGGTAGTTGTTGAACACTCTGCTTTTGCTGATTACTGTAGTTGCTTTCTTTACCTTTGAGCTACTCCACGAGAATGTCCAGATGATTCAGGATAGCTGCGGCTATACCGTCAAACCCGCATTCCTCTTCGACCTTGCGCAAAACGAAGCGAAAACAATAGCAAATAATTGATGCAGCTCTTCTAATCATTTATAAATATTCAGAATGGATATTGGAAGGCATAATTACTGTATTAGGTTGGCAGGGAAGTTCTGTCATATTTCTTTGGTCAGACACTTCCAGTCTGGAAAGGTGTGATCAATAATATGAACGGCAATATTCAAGATAAAAGTCCCCCTTAGAGCACTGATCGCTTATTTCCTACCTCTTCTTTTTCAGCAATGTGGACAACAATTTTCTGGACCGTCAGCACCTGAGCCTTTTATTCCTTCTTCTAGAACCTGACTCGTACTTGAGAGCCGCTGAGGCTAAACGCAAGAGGTGCATGAGGACGTCAATCTCACGATTTTCACGACGCCAATACTCCAGAGCGGAAGACGGCAGCCTTGACGACGAAGTGATGTCTCAATGTTAAATTCGGAACGCAACTTGAGGGGCTGTGGCTTCTGAAACTTCCAGATGAGAGGAGCTGCTTCCACAGCTGATCGCTATACGAAACAGCTGGAGATTTGGAGCGAATCGTCGATCAGAAGAGGACTTTTTCCGCACATTCTACTCCTCAAATTGACAGGGGCGGACCGTACAATGTAGAAAGGGTAAACTGTAGTTCATGCAAAATAGCTGGATGGCTCTCCCTTAGCCCTGTATCGCCCAGACATTACCCCTTCCTAATACCACCTATTTTCCGAATTAACTCTTTACATGGCTAAGAAGCCATGGCATCCATGAAAAGCTCTAATCCTGGGCGAAGAGCAGTATACGTTTTTCGTTTCTTTTTTTTCAACGCTTAATCTCTGAAACATGACAAAGCTTCTCTGCTAACTTGATAC